GTATCGACGACGCGTTATTAGACATTTCCTCTCAATGAAATACGGTATAAACGGCTTTTCAGAAACCTACCTAGTGGCCGAGCAGACGGAAATAGCCGTCAGCCCTCGAAACGATCCAGTTCTGTCTTGCCACATCCTTCCGCGCACGCTGGACAGAACAGTTCATTACTGCCGGTGGATCCGCCCCGACGGATATGGAATTTACAATGACATAAGCCATCGATATACGACCAACAGCAGCTACTCCCAGTGCAGATTAGTCATCCTGGGTAAGTACCACGGGCACGGAGCCGCGCTACGTGCGTCGTAATGTAACAAAGTCATCCTAATTGCCATGCCGTGTGTGTATGTACACCGCGTATGTCGCCAAACGAACCGCACGTAAATCACTATTACATTAATATTAATTAACGACGCGCCGCGATTGCAGTTTCGCTAGAAACTGCGCGTTGTCATTTTCAGTTTCAACCGTATTATGACTGTCATGATATTTTGATTAAATAAGATTAGATAATACGGAGTTTAATTAGAATAGAAACGATATGTTTTATATAGTCTTATATCTTTAGCCGCTTACGAGTACTCCAGAAAGATCTAAAGTATTTAATATATATATTAAATAGTGAAATGGAAGATTATTTAAATATTAAAATATTTTATTAATATTAAGAATGATTGTAATGTACACAAATATGTTTAATTTATTCTTATCAATTTTATTTAAAATTGATGCATAATTCTCTTACATGAGAGTATCTTAGAGTAGTACATATTTAACACAAGATATTTTTTTACATAGAGAAATAAATGTTTATTCGCAGGAATACAATATTTTAGAAGAAATATAAAACATACATAGTACAAATGCATATTTAATACAGTATGACATAAAAATTTGAAAGCGTGCCAGTGATGAAAATCACTATATTATTAAAAGTAGATTACATATTTATAATAACTATAAATTGCACATAGTGGTAATGTTTACTAAATAGATCAATTAATTTCACTTAGCAATGGACAACATCTAAACACGCTTACTTAAATAATAGTGCATTCTAGTTACATTGTGCGAAATAAGCTTCGCAGAAATAGATTATTATTACATCAGCATTAATTAACGTCACGTCACGATTGCAATTCGCGCAATATACCTATCCCTCATTCAATTTCAATATTGTCATGATTATTTCAATATTTCGACTGAATAACTCAGGACAAATCCGCTTACTATGAACCCGTTACATTAATAATGATTAACGACGCGCCGCGATGCAGTCGATTACGCGATATATATATATATATATATATATATATATATATATATATATATATATA